CCTCCCCCTACCCCTCCTTTCTCTCTCTTTGTCCAGGAATAGAGAACAATGATTATGCCACTTACAAGCTTTGAAGACCCCATACACTATGTACCAAACTAGGAAGTGGAGCAGAAGTGCTAAATGTGTTCTTATGCCAATAACACAGGAATGTCTCATGATAACATGACCCTAAACCTTCAAAACAAGCAATGAAATCCCATAAACAACCTCACATCTATTCATTTTTTGAATGTTAAATGGGAAAGAGGTTTCTGACAACTTAAAAAACTACAAATGTGTAGTCACCCCTTATTCAGTTTTACAATTACTAACAATAATCACCTCTTCCATTTCTTCAGGACTCTCGAGAAGCCTGTCAAAGTTTGACTCCTCTACCCACAATAGTGCACAACATTCTCACCAACCTGGAGAGGACTTTTGACATGACCCTGCTGGGGGAGATCTTCAGCCCGAATAACCTGAGCGAGTACCCCAAACTCCAGAAGATTCAGCAGAGCTTCGGAAGTGGTAATGCGGTTTCTCAAGTGCTTTAAGAGCAACAGAAGCATGTGTGAAATCACTCTGTGGAAAGTTTGTTTTCAGCTTAGTGGAATATGCATTTCCACTTGCCGTTCTCAATGGGAAAGTATGGGAGCTCTGGTGGCCTAATGCTGAGGAGTTGTGTTGCCAGCCCAAGGGCAGGTGGTTCAAATCCCCCAGCTGCTTTGTGAGAGAAAGATGGGCAGTCTCCTCCCATATGACTTACAGCCTCTGAAAACCCGCTGGAGGGTAAGCTATGAGTTAGTTCCAACTGCACGGCACAATGACAACCACCTGGACATGTATACCTCAGTGTCTCTCATGAATGTGGTAGGCAGTGCTAGCTCTGACCCCAGTTCTCTGTGATGAGTTTGTAGTGGGCACACATGCTTCTGACTTTACTTGCTCCTTGAATTTGGGGGAAATTTTACAGCTCAGCATAGAACAGTCTCTGTGTAGTATATAGGATGACAGAGTGAACTTTGGGAAATGCATTGTTAAGGAGACCAGATCTGGTGGGAGGGCAAAAGAGATTCAGAGAGTAGGAGAAACGAAATGGATGAATAATAATAAACATCATTTCATTAAGAGTTTATTTATTGGCGAGCTCTGGTGGCCTAGTGGCAAGAAGCTGTACTGCAATCCCAGAGGTGCATGGTTCGAATTCACCAGACGCTCTGCTGGAAAAGAAGAAACAATCAACTCCTGTACCTGTCAGATCCAGTTTCATGGTACACACACAAAAAAATAAAAAAAAAATTTTAAAAAGTTCATTAATTGTCCACATTACCTCAAGTGCAGCATATGATTATCATAGGTCGTCTTTCAAAGAGCCCTATGAAGTCATTACTGTCCTCATTTTACTGATAAGGGGTAATTTCTCCAAAGAGGCCGAGCTAGGAGTCACAATTGGTTCTTTCAACTCCAGACTCCAATATTTTAAACACTTTCCTAAACAGGGATGAGCTGGAAGCCAGATTGTGGCGCTGAAGAGAACAAGCTGGGTAGCTGAAGAGGATGAGGGGAGCATAGTGACAGAGCGTGAGAAAGTGGAGCGTGACGCACCCAGAGCCTGGAGAGAGCTGGGTGAATAGGGCCGTAGGAACAGGAGTAATGCCACAGCTGGCAAGGAAGAAGCAAGGGTAACAGGGAAAGGATTTATGTTTGAGAAAAATGCTCTGGCCAAATCATGTGGTTCACTTGCCCGAGAAAACAGAGGAAAAGCCACCAGATATCACTGATAGCCAGAGACCTTGGTTAGTATCCTTGACAGCACTTCATCTGCTCTGCAACTTGCCACCGTTCCTTGAGCGAAAGTAGCCTCATAAGAGAAAGAGGGGCGGGGGGAGGAGATTGTTTTGCACACGGGGGGGCCGAGAGGGAGAAGGAGGCCTCAGTGCTGTTGGAAGTCATGAAAGAAGTCCTGTGTTTGTTCACAATCCCAGTTTGTGCTGCATACGGAGCGTGGAGCAAAGATCTGCCGTTCCTGTCTGCAGCTTTCCCTGAAGCCAGCTCCGGTGTCCCTGCTCTGCTCCAGGACCTGCTGCCACCGCTGCCACTCCAGCCCTCACCTCCCAGCCCTTTGCCTTGTGCACAGCCAGCCAGCCAGCCCGAGGCACCCACCCAGTGGAGAGCTGAGATCCTGAGTGAGGCACCCAGCCCTGGCAGCCCTGCCGTGACCATCCCTGGACTCATCCGTGAAGGAAGGATCTCCCCAGGTAACAGACAGACCATGTCCACCACCTGTGTAGCCCCAGCTGAGGGTGCCTGGCGATTCTGTCCTTTAATCGGTCCACTTGGTTCCTGCATTTTCTGTCAGGATTCCGTTCACTCCCAGGGGCCTAGGTGAGACTCAGAGCTCAGCGAAGGTGTTTCCACCTGCATAAGTTTCCCAGAGCTGCTGTAACAAACTGTCACAGGCTGTGGTTTTCCGTGCTGTTAAGTCAGCCACTCTTAGTTACCTTATATAAACAGAACAAGACACTGCCTGGCCCGCACCGTCTTCAGGATGTACGCTGTTCACAAGCTGTCCTTGCAGCCACTGCATTAATCCAGCCTCTTTTTTTGACAGTCCTCCACATTTCCAAGCATGATGTCCTTTTCCAGACACTGGCCTCTCCTGATAACATGCCCAAAGCAAGGGGGACAGAATTTCTCCATCCTCCCTTCTAAGATATTCTACTACACTTCTTCTAGGACAGGCCTTTTCTGTTCTTCCGGCAGTCCGTGGTATATTCAACACCCATTGCTTAGACCACTATGCAAAGGAGTCATCAGCTACTCATCCTTCCTTATTTGCTGTCTGACTTTCACATGCACATGAGGTGAATAAGAATGCCATGGTCTACCTGAGTCTTGGGTCTATTGTATCAGTCTATCTAATTGACATCTTTAGTGTCTTCTGAGAACATGATTTCTTCTCTAACTGAAGGTCGATCTTACAGGACATCACTTCCTCTCAGGGATGCTGGCACCGTCTTTACCATCACTCTCACCTCACAACAGGAAACAGGATGGATGCCCATTCCTTGCTGCCCACTGTCCCCATCCAGCCCTTTGTTCCTCCAGCCTCTCATTTGAGGCTCAAGCTTTCCAATAAAAATTATTTCCTCTTCATCCTCGGCCCCTGCCAACGAGCCATTGAAACCTGACAGAAAACAGTCTTAAGTTATCCTGATGCCTTCAGTGTGTCCAATAGACAGCAGATCTGGTGCTCCGGCCTCTTAAGCTCTTCATCTCATTTCCTTGAGTCCTCCTCCCATCAAATCTCTGCCTTTCGTGCCCAATGACAATTGGCACAACTTGCCAATAATGAATTTAACATTTTTTTGTGACATCTATCTTTGAAGTATTCTCTCTTTCTATAGTTACTAATCAAACTCTGTCTTCTCCTATTCAGTCCAGTCTTAAGAAAACAAACTTACTACTACCTCTCTGTGATTTCCTCCTTGCAGTTTGCTCCCTCTTTTAACCTGGCTTGGTTGACCACAGGCCTTCCTCATTTCTAGCCCACCCCTCCTTTGAGCCCCTCCTTGGCCACTTCAGTCCTAAGGCCCATCATTGCAGAAGCCTTTTGCTGGTATTTGAACCTGTTCTACCCCTCTATCTTTTCCTAGAATTCTCCCTCAAGTCCTGGAGACACAGGATTAACTTCTTTCTCTACCTCGCATCTCAAAAGCAGATAATTCAGTGTGGGAAGTCACATGGCAGGCCCAATTCAGTGACATCTAACAACGTGGACTGTTGAAAGACACTGACAAATCAGTGTTGGAAGAAGTACAACCAGAAGGCTCCGCGTGAGTGAGCATGACAAGACCCGCCTTCCGGGGACATCATGCTGGGTAAAGTGGAGAATCATCAAAAGAGAGGAAGTCCCACAGTGAAGTGAATCCTTGCAGAAGCTGTAACAATGCGCTCGAACATAGCAAAGACGCTGAGAATGACACAGGACCGGGCGGTGGTTTGCTCTGTTGTATGTGCAATCTCTGTGAGTTGGAATCACATTAATGGCATTTAACAACGAAGCTTTGTCTTTCGTACTTTGGACACGTAGCTAGGCTGGACTGTTCCTTGGAAAAGGACATCATTCTGGGAAAGATGGAGGGTCAGCAAAGGAGGGAAGACCTCCAATGAGATGGACTGACACAGTGACTTCAGCAACGGGCTCTAGCGTGTCAGAGATGATGAGGACGGCACAGGACAGGGCAGGGCTCAGGCCAGCTGTTCGTAGGGTCGCTGTGAGGAGTACTTAACTTGATGGCTCATAACAACAACACCACCACAACAGCAAAGAGTGACTTAGAGATAGGAAAACATGAATAAATTGTTCATAAGGCAAACACCCCAAAAAGATAATAGGACCCTGCCTCAGGAATCTCCTGATAGGGTGGGGGCTGGGAAAGTAAGAAGGAAGCCCATTGACACCAACTGGGGGCCCCAATTAAAACTTTCACAAATCACTATTTGGCCCAGGGCTCGCCTCGCGGGAGCATGGCACCCAGGAGAAGCTCCAAGAGGTGGGTCAGGCGACTCCAGTGAAGGAGGCCTCGGCCAGTCACTCAGAGGTCATGATAAAAGCACAGAGGACAAAGACTGAATGTGTCCAGTCGCCAGAGCCAGAGGGTGAGTGTTGTGTTGGACTCTGCCATGAGGAGCAGGGCAGCTGTCACGGAACCGGGCTGGGGTGAGAGGGGTGCAGAATCAGCAGGAGGAGGGAGTCTCTTAGATGAAGCACAGAGGACCAGGAACTGGAGCCCACGTCTCCCCAGAGCCCCAAGCAGTCACAGGGTTCAGCCAGCCAGGGAGGTGGGCTTCCCTACGCTTCACAGGATACTCAGGGAGTTAAAAGTCGCTGAGCGCTTTATTCTAAGTGTTGGTGTTTGTGAATCCAGCCCTCGAGTGCAAAAGGTCAAAGCTCAGTGACTGACCTCCTGGATTCTGAATCTCCCACATCAGGGAGCCAGTGGCTCGGACCTGCAGTGCAGTCCTCTGGGACTGTGAGGGCCCGTCCACTGCCAGGGACCACTTACCGTCAGTCTAAAAGTGAATGCTTGGACAAAGAGTCTGTATGTCTAGAATGAACATATATTTTAAAATTGTTCACCAGATATTCCAGAGTCCCATCACCCCATCCTTCACAGAAGGTTATATATCCCTGGCTTGATTGAGGAACGGCCGTGGCACTTGGCTAAAAATGTATGGGCAGAGGTGCAGGAATGCTCCCAGCGCGGCGCTAGGAGTCCGTGTAAACCTGACTGACGTCAGCCGGCTCTATACAGAGGCTGCGGTGTCATCCTGGGACTGCGGGTGCTGACGGGACAGGGCTCAGATGGAGACCTAACTTGTCACAACAAGCAACATGAAAGAGATAGAAATCTTTGTTTTCCTAAGTCTGGACTCAGCAGTGTTTTTGTAAAGGTAACAGATAGTGACTATTTTGGACTCTGCACGTCATCTACTCTGTTGTTTTCAACTCTACTGTTATAGCATGAAAGCATCCTGTGACAGTGTGCCAATAAAACTTTATTTTTTTTTAAAAAAGGTGAAGGAGCAAATGTATCGTGTGTATTTTAGGATTGCTGAGCAGTGTTCCTATCTTCTACTCACTTGTTGTTGTTGTTGTGTGTACCATCGAGTCAGAATGGCTCGTCACGGGCCCTGCAGTAGGTTTTTAGAGGGAGTAAACCGCATGGGAGGAGATGGCCCATCTTTCTGCCAGGGAGCAGTTGGTGGATTCTAACCTCCTGCCTTTGCGATGGCAACACAGATCCTTACCACTAGGCCATCAGAGCGTTCTTCTACTCGCTTGTTGTTATGTGCTGTCAAGTCAAAAATGACTCCAAAGTGACTCCAAACGACACGATGAACAACAGAGCTGACCCCTGTCCTGTGCCGTCCTCAGCAACTCTGACACACTCGACCTCATTGCTACAGTCACTGTGTCAATCCATATTACTGAGGGTCTTCCCCTCCGGGGCTGACCCTCCCCTGTTCCAAGCCTGATTTCCTTTTACAAGGAATAGCCTCTCCTATCAACACGCCAAAGCATGTGCTTCCATGGAGGACTCTGACTATACTTTTTCCGATATGTATCTGATTTTTTTTGACAGTCCATGGGACATTCAGTCCTGTTCTTCAATACAATTTAAAGGCATCAATTCTGTCATCCTTATTCATAGTGCAGCTCTCAGAGTCATGTGGTTGTTATATACTATTGAGGCATTTGTGACTTACGGCGACCCTATGTACAATAGCTCTGAACTTATCCTATACTGAGCCAATCTCACTGTCTCTGACACAACCCCCCATTCACCCCAGTCACTGTTTTAATCTATCTCATTTGAGGTATTCCTCTCTGTGCTGTCTCTCCATCCTTCCAAGAATGATGTTCTTCTCCAAAGATTGACCCCTTCTGACAGTGTGCCTAAAGTATGTGAGACAGAGCTTCAAGACCTTTGCCTCCAAGGAGCAGCTGGGTTTCACCCTCTCTAGGAGAGACTAGATTTTTCTCTTGAGAGTCCATAGTAAGTTCAGTACTCTTCTCCAGTGCCACAACTCAAAGGCATCAATTCTTCTTCTATCATCCCTAGTTACTGTCCAGCTCTCTGATGCATAGCAAGTAATTACAAAGACCATAGTTTGGATCAGATGCACCTTAATCTCTAGACAGACATCATTGCTCTTCAGCACTCTGGAGAGGTCCTTATCAGCAGATATTCCCACAGCAATTTGTCTTTTGATTTCTTGACTGCTGTTGTAAACAGCATTGACTCTGGAACAAAGCAAGCTGAAGTTGTTAACAACCTCAGTCTCCTCTCCATCTATCATGATGCTGCC